GAGATAACTAAGACAGGACAGAAAAAACAGAATGACTCAAATGCTGGATTTGTCAAGACAATTGCAAGTGTGTTAGGGGAAAGGAAAAAAAAAAAGTGATTGTCCTTGTCCCCAAACTCTCCCTGCTGCCTGGCGTCAGAGACACAAGCTTGTATAGACCACAGGGTCAACGACAGATGTCACTTTCTATGAGGAATCATTGTAATTTTTAAACTATTTAGCTGAATTCCCATCCTGTTGAAGTCAGAGTTCTGTCTCTGCATTAAGAAGCACCAGAAATTCAGTGACGCGTCTGTGGTTATATGTGGCAGAGGGGACACTTCAGTGCAACCCAACCTCCCAATCAAACCTAGTACTTCATCAAAACCTGTCAGCTCATCCTTTTGCAGTGCAAGAACTCCGTATTTCCCTCATCCAATCACCCAAAGATCAATGACTTTTGCCAGCATGAAGAATATCTTCAACACTGGTCACCCAGAGGTCCAGACTCCCTTGTTCTCAGAGTTTCACAGAATCCTTCAAAGGCCCAGAAAACAACAGAGAACAGGAGTGAAAACAGTTTTCTTTCCTCCTTCCTTTAGTTTTATGCTTTGAACTATCATGCGAAGGTTTTCAGAGGGGGTTCTTTGATCTAGGAGCTGTGTGCCCTGATCTTGAGAGTGGCAAATGCCCATTCTACAAGTCAGACAGGGGCCACATGTGCTCTGCATCTCTGAAAAAAAATCAGGCCAACAAAATCTCAGTTTTATCAGGTATAAAGTGTGATACCCAAAACCTCTTTCCCAGGAACTTGAATACAGTTCTTTGTCTGAATTCAGCTTTCCTTGATCAACACCACGTATTACACTGGGATGTGGAAAAAGAACCACAGCTTTTTGAACTATATGGTGGCAGAATATATTCCAGAGGGGCCACAACCACTTGGCTCCTCTGGTTAATTCTGTATTGCCTGTGTCACAGGACAAAGAGGTTGCTCTGGGGCAAGCAGGCAGGACAAGAGCTGATCTCAGAGCACTATATGGCTCCTCTCACTCAGTCACCCTCTGGCAGAGCTTGGAGGCTGTCTTTGCCCTGCAGCTTCCAGCACACTGCTTTTGGCTGGGCTCCTTCACCACACCATGTAGAAAATTCGGGGCTGCTTCCAGCCAGAGCTGGCTCTGGAAATGAGTGTCTGTGCTCACTCTGCACTAGCACAAGCTGCAGGCACCGAGCTCCCCGCGCACCAACTTGGTGGGAAAGTAGGTATCAGAAATCACACAAAAAACTTCTCTTCCCCCAGTTTCCAGGGCTGCATTGTGAGTGTACGTTCATATGGTGTGGCCAGACCCAGAACTGAGGTGTCTCAGCTCCTGCAGGGTTTAGGGCCAAAGGCTAGATTCAGCTCACACACTGAAGTCGGTGTGGTTTTGTGGGTGCAAGCTAGACTGGAACTTCAGTCTGGTGGTTTGAGGAGGAAGGAATAACTTTGCTTTGATTTAAAAAAGGAAAGAGAAACAAAAAAAAAATTGTTCCTTTCCTTTGCAAATCTCAAACTCTCTAGTAATCCTGCTGCAATGGGTTGCTTTCCCCAGTTGACAGTGCACTGGAGATTGTTTCTACCAGTTGGCTGTCCTCCGTGGGACATGAGCACTTTCCTTCCTCTTGGGTGTTTTGGTTCATCCCCTTTTCCTAGGGTTCCCTCTGCCTACAAACCCTACAAGAGTATTCCAGAAGGACGAAGTCAAAGCCTTAAACTTTGTGTGATATCACAGCAGCTTTCCTGAACTCACTCATCTTACAACCATAGTTTGGATGTCTTCTCTTAGTTTTGTTTGAGTAGGGACTTTCTATCCCTGTTTATTCTCCTGAAGCATCTTCAGGCAGTCCCCAAGCGTCTCACAGCCACCCACTCACCCTAACAGAACAAGCATATTGCATCCCAGTTTCAACAGTGTTTGTTGGATTTCCTCTGCTGTTAAAAACAAAACAAGTTCCATCTCACCCAAGCAGAATTACTACAACATGGAGAGGAAAGCCAAGGGAGGCACAGAAAACCTCCAAGTAGGAGGAAGGTTTCCAGCAAGAAAACGTAGCAATGATCATGTAGAGCAGCATCCAGCCAAACACTGCCTACTCCTCTAGGCTGCCCCAGGACCCCCTCTCTAGCTTCAGCCAGAGCCAATCCAAACTATCATGATGGTTTTACCCCACCATCATTTATCCAGACTCTGCCACCAGCTAAGATGACAGGTATCTCAACACCTTTATTTTCTCCTGTTCATTACCTGCATCATTTCTTTTCAGTCACTGCCCACAGTCCTAGCTGGTTTTCAAGGGACTCCTGGGGAGGTAGGAGGGTCTGGCAGGTTGAGCAGACTCTATCCAATGCCTGGCTACTCATATCACTGCCACTAGTGGCAGAAAATGTGAAACCTACTTTTGCCCTGATGCTTTCTCAGGCAGTGCAATCCCTTCTAATATTGGTTTTGTTGTTCTTGGTTCATACCCCTATAGGGATCTCGCAACAGTGCCAGCATATCCATATGGAAATGCCACATTTTAGCCTGCCAATGACACCCATTTCATGCTGCTGAGTGGTCTTTGACAAAAGGCATTCTTACCACCCGTGGCCAGCAGCCAGTGTCACTCAGGAGCTGCCCCATCACCAGCTGGGAGCATCCAGGTATTGAGACCATGAATCCGTCAGCACCACCAATGAGACTGGGAATGCCAAGCCAAGGAGTGACTGAACAACCATGTCCCAGATACAATGTGGAAATGATGCCACTAGTAGTCCTGGAAGGGAACAACTCCAACCAGTTCTTTACCTGCCTGACTCTGCAGAGAGGGAGGAGGCTCAAATTCTCCCCAATATCTTTTCAGGCAACAACATCCTTACTAAAGCTGAATATAAGGAGGCCAGTTAGACCATGGAATCAGATGAGACCAAGTCTCCACCACACATTTCCATACAGCAAAGTAGCCTTCCAACACTGTCATCAGATGTTTTGTACCCAGGCCAGAAGGAAACCAGATACCAATATCTTCAGATTCCATGATAAATCCCTTTCCTATCTGGTCTCCTCTTCTGAGGGCTTCAGAGAAGGACTGAAATAACTTGATGGTTTTCTGAGGTTTCTTGGTCACAGTTCTCCTGACAATGGTAATACCTCAGTGGCCTCATTCACACTGTCCAGGTGTATAAATATACCTTGAACAATTCTCCAGAGTAATTTCTTCAAGTAATGAATGTTGGTCTTTGTGTTTTCTTCTGTTGCAGCTTCAGATGACATCTAATTTAGCAACTGAAAATTAGGAAGAATTAAAGAGGATTTCTAGTAACTGGGGTGCCACTTACACTAGGAACAAAACTGAGCTGGCTGACTGGCAGGTGAATTATTGCAGAATTAATTTCAGTGTTCCATCTCTGTTCTGTGCTGTGATAGCAACCTTTCAGAAGGTGGAGTCAAGCTTCAACACACAAAGTACATCTCCACTCAGAGAACCCTTCAAGGATAATGAAAGGCTTGATCCAAAAACATTCTTCATAAACTTTAAGAACAAGAGGAAAATAAGTTTTCCAAAGTTATTCTTTTTTTTGTAGCAAGGTGCAATACAGAAAAACAAGGGCATATTCCAGTGTCTCATTGGAGACTCATTTCCTGTTACTCATCTATTGTAAACTGTCTTAAGCACAAAGGGCTGAATATCCCCAAAAACTAAATGAAGAAAATAATTCTTCCATGATTCCATATTTATTCTATGTATTATATATCTAGACCTACTCTCTTCTCAGACAGACCTGCACACAACAGCTTACCTTTGCACATTCACCTTGCAGCCTATCTAGTTACCATTTACACCAACATATTTTACTTCCACCACGGCAGAAAACCAGGCTGCAGAGAGGCATGATTTTCTCCAGATGTGCTGACCTGACCAGGGTAGGGGTTGCAGGAAAATGTAACAGTCGAAATTGCTGTAGGCACCCCTGCAGTGCCAAGCCTGAGCATAACTCCAGCTTACCATCAGGGATCCCTAATCAGCCTGGTTCATAGCCAGAGGTGTCCTTTCACACTCCTCTTTGCAGATACTTCTGGGCAATGATTGTTGCCTATTCAGGGAGAGGTTTCCAATTAATTCCTTTAAGGCCACTCCCTTTCCTTTCTTCCTCCCTGGTTTTCCTTCTTTCTTATTTCAGATCCCATCCCTGCTGCTGGGTCACAGTAAAAACCCTCAGGGGCCACAAAAGCATTAGGACATTTCCCCTTTCCAGCCACTCATGAGCACTCAGAGTCAGAAAATACATGCTAGGCAGCCTGCAGCTCAGCAGAATCCGATTCGTCTTCACTCAGCATCCCCAGCCTCACAGCCATCCCCTGCCTGGAGAAGGGAGCCAGTTGAGCTGCCACTTCCCTCTCTCACAGCCCAAGTGACCTTAGTGTGAAGAAATGTTTTCCTGGTATTCAACCTACATTTCCCTTCACCCAGTTTATCCCATTGTTTCTGCTTAACCCTTTCCCAACAAGCCTGTCACCCTGAGAGGCTCTAGCTGTATTTAGCTGCCATACACAATTCTGATATGCTTTAGAAGCCGGTAATTCAGGTTAGCAACTTACACGGCACCCCAACAGACAGGTGTGTGTTCCAGCGCTTTCCAGATGTCCTTAATTTCACGTCCTGATTTACCCATTGACTTTCTGTTGGAAATCATCAACAAGAAAGGTAACACCAGTGGAGCAAACCTATGGAGCAACCCACTTGGGCACAAGGAATGAACTCCACTTCCACTCTGAGCCTTCTGCAGGAGCTGCTTTGTTTGTTTGCCCCATGCCTGCTCCTTCTCACATACAATATTCCCCATCAGAGCATTGCTGGTGTACATGTAAGGAATCAAAACACCAGCACAGCTTCTGCTTCAGATACGGCAAGACCATAAGAACTGGGAGAGGGTCAGTGAGGAATAAGACTTGTCTTTGGAGCTTGCAATTCCAAGGTGGATCTCTGCATATCCTTCTCCCAGGAACAGAGGTGTTACTGCTGCTGGTGTGGGGCAGTTCCTCTGAAGCCAGTTGGGACACGACACCTAAGGCACAAAAAGCATGGTTGTAGCCCTTTCAAATCGGATGTTAAGATATAATTTATCTGAAGGGTATTAACAGGGAAGGTACTGGGATGTTAGAAAGCACCTGCATGCTGTGACTATGGGTGACTGACTACTGCTACCTGCAAAATCAAAACCTGTTATTAGGAAAATTCCTGGAAATCAGTTTGAGCTTTTTCATGTTTCCTATGAATCCCCATTACTTCCTCCAAATGTAAACCATTTCTTTAAAAATGCCTGAGATGTGGATTAACGGAGGAATATTGCAGAATAGTGACTTCTGTGGGAACCACTTAACTACACTGAGCATCATTTTGTGAAGGCCAGAACTCCTTCTGCCTTGTGATCTTTTTAAACCCTTTAATGCTTGTCATACTCTCCAGAGAGCGCTTCATGTCCATACCCTTAACACGGGTATGTGAGACTTATTAGCTTTATACTGCCAGATCTCCCCCAGCCTTCCTTCCCAGTGATTTACCACCTTACCATAGCATTTCTTCAGCAAAACATAGTCCAAATTGGGCCCTGTGCAAAGTTTTCAACCTTATAGAAGCTGGTGGATTGATTAGCAGCTTTTCAGGGCTTGCAGATGCTCAAAGCACTGTTAAAGGGTTAATGCCAAGACTGTTTTCAGAGGCTGAAAGGAGGTCTGGGTATAACTTCCCTTTGTTTTCCTCCTTCTCCTCCCTTCCCCACCTTTCCTCCTGCTACTTCTTTTATGAGTATGTCTTTACTGTGCCTCAAAAAAAAAAAAATTGCCTCTCTGATGGCCTTGCTTTCCCCTGACTGCTTGGGGCCATCAGAGATCCAGTCAGAGGGTGGCTTTTGTAGTAAGGAAAGCTTCTTCCAGGCAGAGGAAGACACTGCCTGGGGCTTCTATATTCACAGCCTTTCTATTTCTGGCTCTCCCTTTTCACAGGGCTTTGTTTGCAAATCCCTGCTCTCCCCCCATGGGACATTAGTGAGCATACTTACCTCAGAAACAGAACAAACTGAAAAAAACCAAACCCAAAGACTGGCACAGCCCACTCCAGAGATGAGGGGCTTTGCATCTTACCTCTCTGCCTTTCCTACTTTCAGGAGACTAATTAATAGGAATGCCTTAACGGCTTAAATCCTTCTCTATGGATTTCAATTTGCCTCTTGAGGTAGAAAGTAAAAAGTAATCCTATTTTCAATATAGACAGGGGTAGACTGTGCAGATACTGAGTCCAAAGCAATGGGAGAAAGGTCACTGCAATAATGTGGTGCATAGGCTCAGAAAGCCCCAAGGAGCTGTGGGGAGCTGGCATCAGATGTTCAGGTAAACGAAAGGGCCCCAACCCTTCCCCTGATCCCTGACGGAAGGATTTCAGCCCAAGACATCAGCTCACAGCAGCTCTTCCCAACCCCAACATCAGAGATGTGACTGCCAACTGCACCCACACACTGGGTTGGGCGTCCCATCCCATCCCACCCCATCCCATCCCTTCCCTCCTGCCTTATGCTGTACAGTTGGGTATTGGCACTGCAAGCAGCAAACACACTCGTGGAAGCCAGTGGTCAGCCATCTCCTTCCATCCTTCACCACCTCTGTGTGTTCCAGGCCCCTCAGCCAGGTCTCACAGCATTGTCAGGGTGCCCTGCTCGGCCCGGCTGCAATCCTTTATCCCTTAACCCACACACCCCAATATCTATCACCACTGATGCTGCTGTGAACCCCAGCTTTGTGAACCATGCTTTGTGTGGGTTTAATGCTTTGCCATCTTTTGTCTTCCCAATTCAGCAAGTTTCTGAATGCTATGTTTTCTCCATGCCTGTCTCACACCCAGTGCAAGCATTCTGAAGGCACCGCCCGTTTAATTTTACAGTATATTGTAGCATGGTAATCTATTCTACAAGCAAGGGAGTTTAGTTAGAATAGGATCACACGCCCAGCTTGACACAGGATTTTGAGGCAATGTTAAAAGTTCTTGTCACCGCTTTGCCACAGTGCCTAAAACACATAGGAAGGGAAAAGCATTGCAGTCTCTCAGGATCTGCACAGGAAAATGCAGATCTGGATCTAACATGTCTTCTTCCTGAACCTCTTTCCTAAAAGTTTTCATCAGTCTTCCTGCAAAAGGTTTGTTTAGTCCAGTCCCATCAGTGAAGCACACAGTTAACTGCTCTTCCATCTTCTGAGGGCTACAAAGCTCCCTCCTGTAGATTTTCCATCAGTGGCCGTTTTGAACATTTTTTTTTCTGATGTCTCTTGAAACAAGCCAGTGTTCAAGCATGGCCTGTCTGACACCTATCCCAAGGTCAAGACTATTATATTTCACTCCTTGCCCAGGGCCGCTGAGGCAGTCACAGTTTGCACCAACCTTTTAGCATTTTTGCCACCTCCGGCCGACTGCAGCCTTACCCAGGAAGGTTTGCGCCTTGTCACTGATGATGCCTGCAAAGTCACCAAAAGCATATGCCACCTTCCCAGCCCTCCCCAGTGCTTTCCCAAATTTGCACTTGCTTTTTATAGCAAGGGCTTTTTATACTACTCCCTTCCTGAACTTGAAGCCAACTGGTCCTTCAGGTAGAAAGTTCTCCATCTTGGGTACAAATTTCTCCTGGGCCTGGCACAGCAACATTTTGATAAGTGTGTAGTGCTTTCCAGCAGCATGTGAAACCATCCTTTTCCCAGGAAGTGACTGTCAGGTTGCAATCTTGGATGATTCTCCAGGCTCCCAACTACCACCGAGAAGGTTTGATGTTCCCATGTGAATGCACACTCTCATTCACTTGCCAGCCAGTTACTGCTTTTTGATATCCAGCCCATCTCTTCAGTTCTTTTGACTTGAGCACACACATTTTCTCATCTGGCACCAAAGAGATAAGAAGATATTTGCATGCCAAAGTCACAAGTGTTTACCAGTATCAGCTGTTTTAATTGGAGCCACGTGTCCTGACAATTTCCCATGGCGCAACAACAGTCTTGCCAAAACCAGCTCTTGGTTCCCTAAACACTCGCTGCAGCAGGAACAGGGCTTGTCAGAGCAGAATCAAGTCCTTCTAATTTGACAGAAACCACTGAACAGCTCTGCCAGAGCAAAAATATTCCCCCACTGCTGGCCAGTGCCTGGATGAACACTGAACCCAGAGGTGAAGGACTTTCATAGCCCATTACCCAGCCTCCTGAGCCTTGCAGTTCCCAGCTGCCACACAGAACCTCAGTCACTGCTCTTTTTCTCCTTCGATCTCAGCTTGCAAACAGAGTGTGAAAACACATTTCCCTGTCTTCAAGTGCTTTTTTTCATTTCATTCTCAGCATATCTGCTTCTAGCCCATCACCTTGAGGTGCAGGGAAGAAGACACTTAGTATTTCTGGAGATGTCATGTTTAACATTGGGCATGATAGAAGCTGGAAATACACATTATCAGTAGCACTGGGGCATGAAGCTGAGAATAAGTAGTGTTATAACTTGGAAACTTCAGACACAGTCATGGAAAGTGGTGTGTTCTTTTATCTCAGCCTAACTCCCAGAGGGTTGCTGTCATACAAACTGCTTGCTGAAAACCGGATACATCTCAGTCTCACACAAGTAACAAGCTTAGCTCTTTCTCCTCCAGTTAAAATAATGATCAGAGATGGTTATTGGAAATGTCAGGAAGCCTTATTCCCATCTTAAAACTTTGCAAGCTTGCTGACCCTCCTGACTACCTACAAATGCAAGGGAAGCCTGACAGACCATGAGTGCCAAGGCAGAAAATCATAGAATTGTGTAGGTTAGAAAAGACCTTTAACATCATCCAATGCAACCAGTAATCCAGCACTGCCAAGCTACCACTAAACCATGTCCCCATTTGCCACATCTACATGTCTTATAAATACCTCCAGGAATGGTGACTCCAACACTTCCCTGGGAAGCCTGTTCCAGTGCTTGGCAACCCTTTCGGTGGAGAAATTTTTCCTAATAGCCAAACTAGACCTCTCCTGGTGCAACTTGAGCCCATTTCCTCCTGTTCTGGGAGAAAGGACTGACCCACACCTCACTATAACCTTCTTTCAGGTAGTTGTAGAGAGCAGTAAAGTCCCCCCTGAGCCTCCTTTTCTCCAGGCTGAACACTCCCAGCTCCCTCAGCTGCTCCTCATAAGACTTGTGCTCCAGACCTTCCCCAGCTCTATTGCCCATCTCTGGATACACTCCATCATCTCAATGCCTTTCTAAAGGTGAGGGGCCCAAAACTGAACACAGAATTTGAGGTGTGGCCTTATACCCTTCCCCTACCAGCAGTACAGTAGTATCATCAATAGGTACCAGAGAGCTTTGCAGATGAAAGCAGCATGTTATCATCACAACTGCACTTTTTGGAAAGCAGCCAGGAGGTGGCAAGGCTTAAGTTAAAGATTAGCAATGGAAATGAGACAGAAACACAGAGGACGGTCAGGGAAGTGAGGCAAAGTTATGTCTGCTGTAACCAACTCAGGCGAGGAAGTCCCCATTGCCAGCAAAAGCCCCTAGAAATGGATATTTAAAGGGCTGCCTAGAAGCATCCAAGAAGTTAGGCTGGGGATTACCAAACCTAATATTCTTCCTCCATGTGGATTTCCCCATTTTTACTTATATTTAGATGCTCAGGGCTAACTCTAAGAAATACCAGATAAAACCATGTTAAGCATGTCAATGGCATAAAGAGAGGAACAGGTTTGCCTGTTCCCAGTTCTCTGAACTCTTCTCCTAACCTGGTAAAGCCTAAGGCAGTATAGACACTGATGGAGAGACTCTAGTTTGGTAGAGCCAAGACCTGCCTTGCTGTCAGGGAGCCAGGTTGGCTACAACTCCATAGTCCATCCGCATGCCAAGAGCCCAGTTGTGCATCAGTCTTCAGGGAAACTTTGCGGTTTGATGGGTTCCTGAGCTAGGAAGTCAGCTTATGTCCTCCAGGAAAGCATCACTGCATCCCTCTTCACCCAGAGGGGAAACTCATCCTCACACACTGGGATACCTTTCTTGCAACTGTCTTTTGTGAGCATCTCTTTTGAGCTCCTTCTCAGTCTGGTTGACTTTCTAATAAAGTCAACACCAAAGATTTAGCTCTGGCCACAGCGTGGTTCCTGCCTTTATAGCAGAGGCCAGCGCTGCAGGTAACACCTCACTTCTGGGATAAGGATACCTATTACAGCACAAAGACTGGGAGATGGTACCGATGGTTCCTGCTGCAAACAGCTCTGTCTAATGGGTAGAGACCCATTATCCTCATTCATACAGAAAGCCACTCAAAGCCTGGAGGATAACAGGATTTTCCTGAAAAGGCTCTTGCTGTCCTCAATACCACACATCATACATACCGTGCTGCACCACCACACTTCTGCCCTAGCTCAGCACCACTGATCCTCACAGTATTGTCTCTGCACCACTGACCAGCATGTGCTCAGCACCAATTAATCTTCTGACGTCCAAAATCCAGTGCTGTCACATTACTCCTGGACTGCAAGATAATGAGCAGCAGGCTGCAGTAACTGAAGCCTCATTTAAATGCTGCATGCCCACTTGCAGGAACTGAAAACACACCAAGTATGAAGGACAAGCAAAGAGAGCAAGGGAATTACTTGGAGCACTCACAGCAGTTTAAAGGGAGCAGGCACGGAAGTTTTGCTTTGGTAGAGGTCCTGCAATCTGGATGACACATCTCCATGTGGTGTGCATCCTCACTTGGATCAACACCCTTACAGGGTACTTCCTAATAGTCTATTGATTTCAACAGATGTCCCAGTAAATGTGTTACAGAGGGAACAACACCCCAGCAGCAATTGCAAGCTCATGTGCTGACACCTCACTGTTTGGTGCAAGAGAGAAAATGAGTTTTGAGAGGGTAAGTTATTGGCAGGTCAATGGGATGTTTGTAATTCTGGCAACAAGTAGCCTACCTCAGAGCAGGGGTAACAGGAGCAGGGGCAGCACAGCCTCCCCTCTGTGATCTGTCCTGAAAACGGGGATCACCTCCTGGTTCAGCTTCCCAAGGGTCCTGCCAGCCTTAAAGGAAACATCACTTGTCAGCCTCAACTCTCCCGGGGTAAGGCATGTCCCAAAATTCACCTGCCTGCCAGTCCCAGGTAAGAGACAACCATGGTCCAGTTAAAGCACCAGGCTTGGGAAACACAGTGAGGGGCAGAACAGCTCAGCCATGTGAGGAGGGGTCTGGCAGGCAGCATTCCTTGGGAGCACCTCTGCTGAGGAGCAGAGCAAGGACTGAATTACTATTCTGGGGCTGTTTGTGCTTCCTGTTTGGTGTGACAGCCTCAAAGGGGAGTTAGCATACAGGGTTCCAGACACGTCATCCCATTGTTCCTATGCAGTCAGGAGGCTGCTGGGGAGAGAGGAAGAGATAGCAAAGCATCCCAGCAGGATGCCCCAGCCACAGCTCACAGTGCCAGTGATGGTACTTTGAAGGGAGGCAAAGCAAACAGCATGGTGATGTTGGTGATTTTTCACCTCCTGCCACGGGAGCAGCACAGTGAGGGGCAGTCAGATGCTGGGAGCACATCTTCTCCCTCCCTGGGGGGTCTTCTGACAGTGGAAAAGGCAAAAAGGACAGGGGAAGATTTTTTTAAGGGACATCAGTAAATCTCTCTGATTATATTCTTCACCTGTGCTAGGAGAGACCTGCATCTCCTGGGGCTGCACAAGAATGAATGTGATAAAGATGATGAAGCACCAAGATGATAAAGTGATGGGGGTTGTTCAAATTCTCACACAGGGAGAACTCTCTTTCAACTCAATCAGCAGTGGAAATTGTCTTGATGACCATGTCTTCCTAGGTTCTGAAGTCTCTCTGTGCTTGCGGGACTGTATTGACTTGATGCTGGTTGCATCTCAGTCACTGTTTTCTCACAGATTGGGACTCAGAATTTCCCATGAACAGCATGAAACAAACTATAAGTATTTTAGGCAAAATGCACACATACACAGCCTGGTCTGTGAGAAAAATCCAGCCTCCACATTTGGACAGTTAGCTTCAGAGGACCCAGAATTTCACCTGCAGTATTTGCTGATCTATTGAGCAGTCATGGACTGCTTCATTGAATGAGAACTTCTGCAGCTCTATACCTTTGGCATGGTTTTATACATGATGTTTTAATAATTTTTTGTTGTTGTTTCCTTTCCCCATTTCATTTCCTCTTTAAATTCCAAGACAACTGCCTGTGTGCAAGGATAGCAGCTGTTTTATTCCTGGAATTAGCTCTCAGTTACCGGACAGACAAACACTGGGCTTTCTGCAGGAAACTTGGCTTTCCTGATTTGTTGCTGTTTTCCTTAGGTTGAAGTTAGTACCTATTAGAGCCAAAACAGACTTTTGGGGTTTTGTCTATGGAAAGAAAGAGTTCACTCCTTGTCAGCAGCAATGTGGGACCTTTCAGAAACAGAAATATTTTCACTTCTTGGTTTCAGCAAGACATTTTGGCAACACTATGAATCCAAACCTTTGGCAGAATCATGCAGGCAGTGAGACAGAGACTTCATGGAAATATGAAGAGCAAAGGGGATCAGAGCTCAGTGCTGCACCGAGGGTGCAGGAGTCCTTTCTGCACAGCCAAGCTGTTGGCAGAGCCGCTGGCACAAAGGCACTGCAGGAAAGGGCTCAGACTGCAGTACCTGGTTTTCATGTCGAACAGTTTCTCACATCACAATGGCTACAGCTCCATAAGTGTCCTGCAGAACTGCAACACTTCATACTTACACACACAAAACCCCCAAAATCCATTCTGGAAGTTTGGCATTTGTATTTTGAATCAACAGCAAAGCTGTGGAGAGAGCACCTCCTCTGTGATAGCTGAGAGCTTGCCAGGAAAAGATTAAAGCCACCAGGTTCCATGCATGGGGAAGCGTCTTGGTTAGCCAGAGGGCTATTCCAGAGGGCTGGAGGAGATTGGCACTGTGCTTACATTGCCATGGGCCTGTTGAAACCAGAACAAATGGTGTGACAGAGCTTATTTTTTGCCCAGCTAAGTCCGAACACAATCAAAATAAGTGCTGAAACCTTTGGGTGCTGATCCAGTACTGAGTGAAGCTTCTAAAAACATTAAGTTTTCCTGTCTCTGGCTATATTTACCTCCAGCCTTGCTCGGTGACCACTGTGAGGAATGAGGGGACAGACTTACAGTACTACTGAAAAGTGCTGTAAAGGCTTATGGCCTCTAACAAAAAAGCCCAGAGGCATTTTCTGGAGGGAAAGGTGCATCACTTGAAAGAGAAAAGATAGATAATCTTTTCATTTTTAGTTTGGGCATCCATCCCACCTCAGGTCTTTATAACAGTCCTCCCCACAAAGGTAGGTGATGTCCAGGTCAAGACAAACTCCTCTCCTGCCCTGCTGCTCAGCTGCCTTTCTCCTTCCCTTTTCTCTTCGCCATGTCAATGTACAGAATTTGGCTGGCCCTGAAGCTTGCACTCTTTGTGACTCACACCTGCCCTGCACACGCTTCTAGGGCTGACAAGGGCCCAAGAGCTGGGAAAGTGCAAGTTACAAGCGAAAATAAAGAGAGAAGAAAGAAAAAGAGCAAGGGTGGAGCCTCAACATCTCCTCCTGTCCCATCCTGGAGCCACCAAAGGCTTTTTCAAGCTAAGGCTGAAGGCTAGGACAAGTACAAGTGTCTGCAAATCAGGTGTCCGGATAAAAAGGGGGACAGGTTTGGTTTTGGCATTGAGTTTTTCCAAAGTCACAAAAACCCAACTGCATAAGTATGGCTTTGATTATGCATCTTTGTGTTACTTTTTCTGCTTGTTTTTGGTGTGACCTGGGTTCTCTTTTCCTTCCATTTCTGAACCTTCAGCATACTTTACTATCTAAAGATTTTCTCGAGGGGGGGAAAGGGTTGTGGGGGGAAGGGACTGGAAATGCTCTTTTTCATTTAAAAGGAAGCTGAGACTCCCTGACAATGCGATGACTCCAGCAGCTGGGCTTTTAAGGACAGTCTGGAAATTACTAGACTCCTGATAAAATCATAGGAGTTGGCAAGGCTGTATTTCCCCTGCACAATTACAATTTCTTTGCCTGTGGGTATTGCTGTGTTGAAATGCCTCTAAAGTTCCTGCTATGTCATTGAATTTGCATGCATTTCTTTTCGGTTCTTTCCTCCTCCAGCCCCTGCTAGAGAGTAGACATTCCTGAAAATCAACTAACCACACTCCCATAACTTTACAGCCTGAAGACCTTGAAGCAAATGAGCCTTGAAGAGTAATTGTACCATTACAGGCACCAAATGATGCTGAATTATGCAGCACTTAGCGGACGATCCTTAGTGGTTTGATTTGGGGAAAAACGTTGGATAACATGAGAAAAAAAAGTCCACTTCTGAAAATGATACAGCAACGCTAGTAAAACTCTCTCACTGTTTTGAACTCTATTAGCAAAATAACATGGGATTAAAGAGTTAAACAGTTTAAACAATTAAACTTCCACTGGGAAAGGATCTTTCCTGTACCCTGTCATCAAATCTATCCCCCAAAGCATATCTGCGTTGCTGTATGAGGTGCTGAGAGTGGCTACACACCAAATCCGAGTACTTCAGGTAACAAGCATCAGCCAGGATGTACCAGGTCTTGCAGGCAGACGTGAGCCAATGTTCCATTCTGGTGGCTCAGATGCTGTGGGATACATGGACCTTAACCAAGATGCATCTTCCTAACAGGATAAATTAAATCCTATTGACTGTGAGAGGTAATTTTTTCTATTTAGAAAACATCTCAATAGTATTATCACTAACTAAGCCAAGAGAAAAGGAGAAGCAATAGAAATAATGAAGGAAACACACTGGATATGTGTACAGGCGTGTCTGGTGATGTATGTTCATTGCAGGGGGTTGGACTAGATGATCTTTAACGGTCCCTCCCAGCCCAAACCATTCTACAATTTTATGTTCACTAATCATTCACCATCTCTGTGTGTTCACATGAAGGATATTTCTGTATGTTCTATGAATGACCTTGATTACTTTATTATTATTATTATTATTATTATTATTATTTCAGCTCTTCACAGGTAGGAATCAAGCTGAAATTAAGTGGTAAGTAAGCAATTAATGTAGAAAACAAGCAGTTTGCTCAAGATCACACAGGAAATGGGTGAGAACTGAGGGACGGGAAGCAGACTGTCAGGTGCTCATGGCTTGCTACAAACAGCTTAGCATGGCACAGGACCTGAAAAACACAAGGCTGCTGCAATGTTTGGAGGTCATCTTCACCAAAACTTTGGTGTTTTTCATGAAGAAGAGCTTGGTAACGAAGGTGGGAAGGGAATGGGGGAAAGTCTGTTTAGGCCCTCCCCTCTACTTCATGGGTGCTTGTTAGCAGTGAGAGTGATGGACGGGGCAGTAGGAAGAGCAGAGGCTTTGATGGGTTGACCAAGAAATCTCCAAGAGCAGCAGTACATGAAGGACCTGGCATTCCCGGCAGGTGAAGATGGGAAGCACGTGGCTCAGGTGTGCCAGCATGAGGAGCCATGCTGTGGCACCATAGAACAAATAACCCTGTCGATCACAGAGCATCAGTTCACCCGGGAGTATAGACTCCATGCTTCCTCAAACTGGGAAGTGCTTGCTCGGTTTCCCAGTGCTCACCTAGCACATTGTTCCATGTCCGCCAACTCCCTTCCTGAGCTTCCCACACAGGCTGGCTCGATGGGAAAATAGTGACTGCCACGGCTTACCACTGCATGTGATGAAGCAAGAGCTTGAGGGAGGACGGGGAGGAGGGAGGGATAAGTAGGTGACAGTCTAATTAAGGAACGCATGATAATGCCTCACTCCAGCAGCCAGCCTGCAGGCATTTCCTGACCAAGGGATGCTGCCAGATTTGCCACCTCTGAGCTTGCCTTCATACGGTTTTAGACAGTGGCCACAGCCCCTCTGGGTTGATGGAGAGGTGTCCAAGTCCATTGTCCTGCTTGTGTACATGTGGGGAGGTAGAAGCAGAGGCTTTAGGTTACCTTTTGGCTTGCCACTCATTGTTGGGTGTTTAAGCACAGGTGTCTGCTGCTGTTGACACTGAGTGATAAGTGGAGACATTTTTTCCATTGGAAAGAATCTCAGGAATTTCCCTGTTCTCTTTTTATTCCTTTTTTTCCCTTCTGCATCGTGGTAAGGAGACTGTTACTGGGGGCAGGGGGAGCCAGGGGTCGGCTGGCACGAGGCAGAGGTGGGACGGCACTTATTTAAGAATTAGATCCCCCCTCCTCTCCCTTCTCCAAGTGCAGCCAGTCTGGCCCCAAGCTTAAAATTCTTGTTCGAATTAAGTATTCCTCCCTTTCTGCACCCTCAGCTGCCTCTAATAGCTGGTCCTTAATGCTCTAGTTGCTGACTTGTAAACTGGTTCCCCAAAACAGCAGTCAGCAGCCACCTCTGGGGACTAATTATCCCTCCAGTAGCAGGAAAAGCTGTGGCTCCTTTGGTGTGGTCTGTGATGCTGAGGCAGAATCTCAGTTCAGCCCCCTTCTTGACCCCTTCTAAAAGAAGAGTAAACACTCAGAGCTTGGGGTAGCAGCTGAGAGAAAGTGTTTGGATGTAAAATATAAAAACAATGCCTTTCCAAAAGGGATAAAGCAGACATGAGCTGGGAGAGGGCCCCCCTTCTCCCCTCCCCTTGTCCATCTCGTGACACTGACCTGCAACCATAAAACACCTCAGGCTGCCATTACCAGAAAGCTCCTATTATATTTTTCATGCTTAACTGTGTCTCAGTTCTATGTTTCTGGTCATCTCTTGTGTCATTCAGCCTGGTTAGGGTTTGTCCCCGAAAGAAACCGAGCTTGATGCACCCTGGGGAGCAGGAGGAAGACTCAGTGAGCACACACATGTGCTCAGACACCCTCCCAGATAGCACTGTGTACCACAGGGAAAACCTTGTCCCACAGGGAGCTGGCTGAACATCCACACACACACATGTGTGCAGATACATGTGCAAACACCAGAGGCTGAGATGCTCCAACACTCACAGGGCATGTCCCAGCACGTGCAATTGTTGTCCAATCCTGTCTTTTGCTCTCCTAGGACTTTGTTGAAAAGCAGACAAGTCACCTACAGCCTTCCTGCTGGTACACATGCCAGAGGGCATCTCTCCCTCTTGGGATAATGGTGACACTAATAGTCAGGCACCATCCCCAGCATAGGATGGAAAATATAATAAATGCGCTAAAAAAAAACACCCCGGTGCAGTGGAAAGGCAGGCCCAGGGGGACTAAACCAAGCACCTTGGGACACCAGCTTATCTAATGTGTTCAGTGGGGCTTGGCCACAGCACAAGTAACTAATTGCCTGTATCTTCAGCTTCCTGCAGCAATTAGCTGGCTCTGGTCATCAGCTTCCCCCTGCCCTGGGAGTGGGGAGGCACGGAGTCCCCACTGCAATGTTTCCTGGGAACCCAGGCCAGCAGAAAGCCAGTCCATCCAACAGTCGTTATTTTCATGGGAGGTTATGTTATAAAAAAGACAAGCCCTCATTGCACTGGTGGTGTCTCTTGACACATCTGCTCATGGGCTGGGGAAACGTTGGTGGCAGTGAAGCCGGATGGGTTGAGGTCCTTGCTGCAGATGCC